TATACTTGCTCCATATGTCAAAGGATTTAAGCTTCGTTTTCTCACAGTGGTCACTGGCTTCACCACACACCCTCCGGTCACTCACTGTCTGCCTTCCTGTATCTTGTTGCATTGCTTCACTGCTGGTGCTCCTTGCACAGCACAGGCTGCTTGTGCTTAAATCCTGTCCTTTGGGTCTGCTTTTTGGAAGATCCAACACAATCACAATGTGGGTTTTGTTTTTGTTTTTTGTTTTGCAAGCAGGGGTCAAGTCTTATACTGCCTTGCACTCCCATAGGGCCTAAGAAGGAGTCGGGTTCTCCATTTCAGAACCAGCCTCCAGGTGCCCCCGGCCCTGTAGGGATGTCCCCGTGGCCACATTGGGTTGTAACTTTGGTGGCAGGGACTAGGAAAGGGTGTTTGGAAGAGAGAAACCAGACCACACTTCTCCTGGGGGAAGTACAGGCTTTTAGCTCTGCATCCTTTAGCCCTGCTCCAGTCTGCTCCCGTGGGAGCCCGAGATCTCTCTGTCTCAGGGCCAGAGCCATTCATGACGAGCCACGAGACACACCGCAGGCCTCAGACCCAGCCTTAGTCCCGGCGCCTGGAGAACAGCAGAGCCCCTGCCTTCGGGTCAAGGTGGTGCAGGGGAGCTGGAGGAGCCTGGGGGGAAGGAGGGAGAGGAGGAGGAAGAGGAGAGGAGAAAAGGAAGAGGAGGGGAACAGGAAGAGAAGGGAGAAAGAGGAAAAGGAGGGGGAGGAAGAAGTGAGGGAAAGCGTAGTGGCTTGAATGGTGGTTCCCCCCAAAACATATGTCCAAGTCCTAACCTCTGGTACCTGTGCGTGCGACCTTGTTTGGACACCTTATCTTTGTAGATTTAATTAAAGATTGTGAGATGAGATCTCTCTGATCTAGGGTAAGCCTTGAGCCCAATGATGGTGCCGCCGGGCGAGGGTGGGCAGGGAGGTTTGCCCGAGACCCGGAGGCGAGGGCCAGGTGAGACAGGGGCGGAGAGCGCAGCGCTGTGCCCGCAGGCCGCGCCTGACCCAGGGCTGCGGGCAGATTTCCCCGAAGGGCCTCCGGGAGGAGCTGCCCTTTAGCACCTTGGTTCTGGACTTCTGGACTCTAGAGCCGTAAGAGAATGAATTTCTGTTGCTTAAAGCCAGGAGGAGGAAGAGAGAATTAAGAGGAAAAGGAGACAGAAAACGTGTGTGTACGTGTGTGTGTGTGTGTGTGTGTGTGTGTGTGGAGGGGGGTTGGGCGGAGGTTTCTCAAGGCCAGAGGTTTGGAAGCAGTTAGGGAGCAGGAAGGAGTGGGAGTCAGAGAGAAGCTCCGTGTGCCTCGGGGGTGGAGAGGGAGGGGCGGGGGGGAGTGTGATGGGAGCTGGACCTGGGGACCGGCGGGTCCAGTCTGTGAAGGACTCTGAGTGCCACACCAGTGGGTTGGGGGTTGATCAACTACACCCTGAGGTCAGATCCAGCCCTCCGTTTGTTATTATAAATAAAGTTTTATTGGAACATAAACATACACATTCACTTACACGTCATCTCCTGTTCAGCTGTGGCAGCAGAGCTGAGTAATTGCAACAGGGACCATCTAGCCATTAAAGCTTAAGCTGACTCTGTGGCCCTTTGTAGGAAAGCTTTGCTGACCACTGCTCTAGGACAGTCCTCAGATCCCCAGAATTCCACCGTCTTGGTCACCTCCACCAGACAAGGTGGGCAGAAGTCAGCACGGCTCCCAGGTGGTGGCCCCAGGACCTCACTGCCACTGAACCCACCAGCTCCACGTGGCGGTCACTATGTCTTGTCCTGCTCATTCACCTTCGCCTTCCCAGCCCCCAGCCTGGTCCGGAATGACCGTTCAGTGAGTGACCGAAGGGCTCCTGAGCAGACGAGGGAGCCTGTCTGGGTCCCCCACAGGCCACTGGACCACACTGGCTTACCCACTGCCCCCCAGGGGTCATAATTCCCTGGCAGAGGGGCCTCAGGGGGATAGGTGCAAACTTGTTCTGTCTCTCCCTGCGGTCTGAGACTCTGGCATAAGGTGGCTTCCCCCTGACTCAGCCTGCCTTGACTTCGGGGGGTCCCCCAGCTTTGGGGCGCTTGCCTCTCTCAGAAGGAGGGAGCGGTCAGCTGGGTTGAGCATCCTCTTCAGCTGGGAGGCCCTTTTGGAATTTTCCATTGGCTCGAGGCCTGGGAGGGTCCAAGCCTTAGATTATGAGGGTCCCTGGAGACTGGCAAGATGTGGCGGGGAGTGGGGAGGGTGGACCTCCTGGATAAGTGGCCCAGCCCGGCCCCTGGAGGCACAGGCTCCTCAGCTCAGAGCAAGCCATGCTGCCTCCCTGGGCCTCAGCCTCCCCCAAGGGTGGTCCTTGGGCCACTCTCATCCTTGGACCCCTTTGGGAGAGCTGGTTAGACTTCGGATTCCTGGGCCCCACTCGAGACCTAGAGTCAGAGTCTTGGGTGCCAGGCCTGGGATGCTGCATTTTCACGAACTCCCTGGCGACTGGGATCTGGAGGCGATGTCTGCTGGCCGACCTCCCCGAGCCACGCCACGCAGCCCTCTGAGTGGCAGGCAAAGCCCAAGAGGAATTTACTCCTCTCTTGATATTCTTGGGGTGACAGAGGGCACAGAGCACATCATTTCTGGTCCTGCATGCCATGAGGGAAACAGGCAGGGGTGGGGGATCCTGGGAGGGCAGGCAGAGGCCCAGCCTCCCCTGTCACCCTGTCCCTGCCTGCCTGGCGGGGTGACCCCCTTACTCTGCGTGGAGGAAGTCTCTGCCGAGGAAAATCACCAGGAGTGAAACCGCCAAGGTTTTTCAGCAACCAGTTCGTGGTGGAATTGGTTATGGTGTGCCACAGCTGGGGGCGGGGACCTCAGGGATGTTCCAGATGGGCAGATGGAGGCCCACCCAGAGAGGGGAGGCTCGTCTGGGGCCCTCCCTCGATTTGGTGCCGGTGTGGGGCTTCGAGACCAGACTTCTGGAATCCCAGCCCCCCGCCCTCCTCACCTGGCCTCTCGCAGCCTCCAGCTCACCGACGGTTTCTGCCCGTCACCTCAGTGGTTTCTGGCAGGTTGGCCTCCCATCTGAATGAATCATTGTTTGTTCGGCACCCTCCCAGACAGACTCTTTTGTTTATGCAAATAAGCAAACTTATTTAAAAACGAAACCTCATGGTGACCCGCAATCAGCAGCTGGTATCATGGGTCCTGAACAGAAGGTTAGTGTAGAAATAACGAGAACTACTGACGTAAACCACCTTTGTCTGCGTGCCCCCCAGAGTGATCTCGAGAACCACCAGCGGCACCTGCACTGGGCTTCCAGAAACGCGGAACTCCAGCAGCGTGGGAGGGGGATGGGTGGGTTTAGACCACGTTCGGGGACAATCGAGAGTGGATGGTCTCAGGTCCCGGGGTCCAATTTTAGGGCTAACTACTCCTGCAGTTTTTGTGGGGGGTCCGTCTTCTCCTCTCGGTTTACCCTCTGCCAGGTGGGGGCTCACAAAGGTGACGGCTTGAAGGAAGCATGGCCGAGAGAGGGCCGTGAACCAGGGGCACTGGCTAGTGTCGCCACTGCTATTTTGGCGACCACTTACCGGGGGTCTGCTCTGGGTGTAGCAGGGTAGCTGGCATGGAACATGCCAGTGTCTTTAGGGGAGGCTCAGAAAAAGTGGCCGCCCGCCTGTTTGCCCTCAGCCATTGTCAGGCTAGGAGAAGGGGAGCCCCTCAGGAGGGGGGACTGGACCTTTCCTCTCTGCCCCCCACCCTGCCCCCGTCTCTGTCTCAGAGAAGACAGTCATGGATTTTATGTAGCTGTAGCAAAAGAGACCGAGGTTAGACTCCCAGAAGAATTGTTTCTGTGTGAGCTCATTCAATTCACTGGAAGATATCAATGAACTTCTGAAAATGACACTGGGAACCCTTTCCCACTAATAAGCTCAGCTACAGGGAAACTGGCTGCCCCCCGCCCCCACCCCCACCAGGGAGCAGTGGCTTTCCAGGGTCTTCCCCTGCAGCTGAGTACGGCCCCCTCTTGGGGGACTTGGTGGGGGGTGGAGCGGGGCTGTGTGTGTGGTACGAGACGACCTCACGGTGTCACAGCCCCCCCAGCTCCCTTCCCAGCCTTCCCTTGGATCAAAGGGCCGGAAATAGGGAGAGAGCTGGGACCCTCCTGGCAGAACTCCAGGCTCACCCACGGTCAGACTCCAGTGGACCCTTGGGACGTCACCTTGGTTTCCCCTTCCTTCACGCAGCCGAGGGTAGAGCTGAGGCCTGAGTGGGGAAGGGACGTGCCCGAGGTCATCCAGGCCTGGGGGGAACTGTGACAGACGTCAGAAATTCCTGACTCTGAGTGGGGTGTTCGTGTCCCCTGCCGGGCCCTCCCTCAGGCCAGCTGTCAGGGCGGGGTCTCAGACCTGGTCATTGTTACTTGGGATGAGCCCCAGTTCTGGGGGTGTGGGGGTGATCAGGGTGGGCAGATCCAGGCAAAGCTGCAGCCACTAGAAGCTGGGCAGGCTGGACTCGGCTTTCGAGGGAGAAGAGCGTGCCGGACTGAGCAGTGTTTAGGGGCGGCCAGAGCCAGGTCCTGATCGAGGGGCTTCTGCTTACTAGCTGGGCAACTTGGGGGACACCACCCACCCCTGCTCGTTCATAGACGGGTTTCCACCTCTGTCCGGCTATGTTCACTGCGCCCTTCCACGGAAGTTAAAGAAGAGGCACCACAGCCTACGGGACCGTGCCTACCAACCGTATCATAAATGCAGAATAAATAAATGGTAACAAGCATTCTCAGCGGGGGCCTGGCTACAGGACCAAGTTCCTGTCTCTGCATTCGGCAAATGACTGAGCCTTCGTTCCTCATCTGAACAGCCACCGTTCTGGGCTGGATAGAGAGGGACTATGGTCCCAGCCTAGTGCCCTCTCTTCTGTCGATGCGGAGTAGGCTTTTTCCTGCCTGAGCCCAGCCAGGTCTCGGAGACCCAGGAATGGATAAGAAATGACCAGAAAGCACTTACCATGGGGCTGGTCCTGGCGGGGCCTCTCCGGCCTGGAGTCTGCAATTGCTGCCTTCCCAGTGCCCGGTCCAGCTGCCCCTTCCCGTCGGACCCTGTCGCTCCTCTCGGTGGGCCTCTTTAAGATCTCCTCGATGGAGAAGGACAGGCCCAGTTTCTTTGGGGCCTCGCAGCACCCCAAGTTCTGCCTCTCCGTAGCCCCGCAGAGAGCAGGGACCACCTTGTTCTCCATGGGCAGCCACCAATAGGGCTGAGGGGGCTTTGCGTGAGCCCAGGGTGATGCCAGCAGAGGGCGGCTACTTCCTCTCCCGAAACTCCCGAGGTCAAGAGGGCAAGCAGAGGTGGAGAAAGGGGAGCCTCAAGTCAGATTAGCCAGGAACGTTCCGTCGCCCCAGGGACTTCCATGGGCCACTGGAAACCAGCCCTGGGATCCAGGAGGCAGGTTACCTGGGAAGAGCTGGAACAGGCTGCACACTGTGCCCCGCAGTCTCAGAGCCCTCGCCGGCTCAGTGTCAAGGGCATCATTATCGCCACGTTGGCTTCCGTCTCATTGCAAAGGGTCTTCTCCAGGTGGGCGGCCTACGCCCGGGTCCCTGAGGTCACAGCCAGAGGGCAACAGGGCACAGAGCTGGGAGGAAGAGAAAGCCTGCCCCCAGAGGAGATCAGGGGCAGCGTGTCCGCCTTGCCGCCCTTCCTGTGGCTTGTGGCTTTTCCTGCTGGCTCCGGCCAGGCCTCCGGAAGGCTGCAGTGTCACACGTGGGTCCCAGGTGGCCACCTCTGTCCTGGGCCACACCACAACCTGAGGGGGTCTTCCCAGAAACCCTCCTGGACTCCTCTCAGTTCTGTTGCTTCTAGACCCCCCAGAACGCACCTTCCGGAGCACCCGTGCCTCCGTTGTCCTGCAGGTGGAGGCTCAGGGAGCAGTCACTGGGTCACTGCCAGGCCACGTCTCTGTGACGGGGCTGGGCTGAGGGCTGAGCACACCCCGGGCGTCTCTGGTCTGGCCCTGACTTCCTTCCGTCCTTCTCCTCCCGGCCTCACCTCATGAGTTTCTCCACCGCACCTGGACCGAGGTGCCGATTTGTGCCCTTCGGCGTCTTTTCCACTTCTCTCCTGCGTGCACTGCCTTTACCTGCCCCCCGAGACAGCACCGAGGAGACCTGTCTCTCTGCTCAGCAAACCGCCGGCTGGGAGCTGACAGGCATCCACCTGTCCTCGCCAGGAGTTCTGTTCCTGGCGGCTATGTAGCCAGGGAGGAGGGGGCAGTAAAACGGCTGATAAGAGAAGAGACTCTCCACCCTCCTCAAGGCCAGGGATGCAGCTGTTTTAGAATAGGGGCCGGGGGCAGAGGGGAGCTAAAGGATGGGTTTGGGACGTCTGATGGGGGTGGTGGTAGGGAAACTGGCCAGACTGGGGCAGGACGGAGCAAGGTGGGGGCAGGATGGCCAGGAAGTGTCCCCAGGCCCCATAAAATGTGTTTACTCAGCCGGGAGAGTTTATGGGTCTCCTCCAGGCTGGAGGCCGGGCCAGGGTGCAGTCTGCTGGGTGTTGGCGCGGGGACTCTCTCAGGCGTGCCTGCGAATCAGAGCAGGAGGGGCCTTCTGAGCCCTAGCGGTGTGTGGGGGGACGCTGGGGCCCGGACCAAGGGGCTGCGGTGGGTGGCACGAGGGACTGATCTAAGTGCCCTCCTGGGGATCCAGGGCACCGTGCTGGACACAAGTGACAGATACCCCAGGGGAGGCGGTGCCCATGAATTGGGATGTCAGAATCTAGACCTTCTGCCAGAGGGTGGGGGTGGCAGGTGGGGGGTGGGGCAGGTGGACCCTCACACCCTGAGGAGGGAGAGTCAGGGACCCACCCTGAGATGGGGAGCAGGTCAAGGCCATGCCGTCTGTTTTACGAGCTGTTTCCCATGGAAGTGCCAGGCTACCGGGTCCAGCTATGGGACTCCGGGCTCTGCCGCAAGCACAAGCAAACCCTAAAATCTTGGGAGCACCACTGCTCACCCATGTCACAGCCAGTGTAGCTGGACATTCATTCAGGGACCCAGGCTCCTTCCCGAGTGTGATGCTGCCATCCTCCAGGTTTTCCAGGGACCAGGAAAAGAGTGGAAGAGGAATTTCCTAAGTCAGAAGTGGTTCACGTCACGTCTGCTCATATGCTATGTCCAGGCTGAGTCATGGGACCCTGCCTCCAGGCGAGGGGGCTGGGAAATGGCATTCTCCTCCGGTCCCGGAGGAACATGACCCGGTGTGATGGATGCACAGTACAGTGCCTGCTGTATACCCTTCAGCGTCAGGAGGCAGAGTCCCACAGGAGCCGGGCTCATCATTGTTTGCATAAGGAGTCGTTGCCTTAGGAGGGCAACTTTCCTTCTGCTTGGGGCAGAGAACGCTGGAACAGACCCTTTTGGTGACTGGACAGGAGTGTGGACAGGGACTTCAGGGGCCGAAGCAGTGGAGGCGGTGAAGGAGGGGAGGAGAGGCCCTGGAGCCCGGGTGATGCACCCCCTGCCTCAGTTAACCCACCAGCAGCCTCATCGACTGGGCGCCATCCCCGATGTTCTACAGCGAGGAGATGTGCCCAGAGAGGTGGTGTGGCGGGCATAGGGCTGCACAGCCAGCCAGTAGGAGAAGCAGTCTGCAAGCCCCGGTGGTCCGGCTCTATAACCCACCCTCTGCTCCGTTCTCCACCGTCCCCGGAGACCATCTGGCCCAACGCTCTCCTTGTGCCCGTGAGGGACTGCACGCAGTCAGAGTCACACCTGTCATTTTAACCCCTCGTCTGCTTTCCTGTTACTCTGCCTCTCGCTGGGCTGAGCCTTACTGCTGGGCGGGTTCGGAAACCACTTTCAATGCGTGGACCTAGGTACTCACGGTTCCTCCAAACCGCCCCCCGACACCCCTGCCACGGTTAGCCTCAGCCCCGGCTGTCACGTGTGTGTTTGTTTCACAAACAGTTCTCGAGCAACTCCTACGTGCCCACCACTAGAAGGATGTGGAACGGACCCTGCCCTGAGGGACCCCCATGCTGGGGTGGGGGCAGGGGGAGGGGAGAGGATGGTCGCTCTCAGTGACAGGGTCCTGTCGGACCTCACAGGTGTAAGAGAGTGTGTGGCCCTTTGGGTCAAAGAAAGATCTGATGTGGAGGAGGAGAGAGGGGAGTTGTCACACACATTCCCTCGTTGAATCTACTGGAAGACGTGCAGGCACACCGAGTCTCCGGCACGGTGCACTGTTCTGGTTTCAGTGGTGGGACGGGGATCTCATTTTCTAAAGGGGTATTTAGGGAGAACACGCTGGACAGGTGGGCTGGGGCCATCTGTTCATTTCTGCACCCATCACACATTTGTCAGGCTCCCTCTGCGACGTGCCAGACCGGAGAGACAGTTGTGATGGAAATAGGCACGTTCCCTCTTCTTGTGGAGCTTCCATCGGAAATAGTCGCGTGATACATAAATGCCCACCGCCATTTCTGTTCGTGACAATGTCATGAAGAAAACAAAGCAGGGCGGTGAGCTGGAGAGTGGCCAGGTGAGGGAAGGCGCGTTAGTGTTTTCGGATTTGAATTTTAGCCCTCAGGCCGTACGGAGCCGTGGGTAAGATCACGCGGGTCTTGCTTTGGGACGCTGTGTTGGGAAAGGCGTGTGTCCTCATGTGCGGGGTGGTGGCCCTTCCGAGGAACCAGTTCAGTGACTGGTTCTCTCCCGTTATGTGGGGAAAGCAGGAAGAGAGGAAGAAGAGCGGGAGGGAGACACGGTTCTCAAGAGCCTCCCCCTCTTTGGTTATCTCAGAACGTGCTTCCCAGGCTCCCGGCTGGACCTTTTCCAAGGCCCCGGCCGGCATCGCCGCATCTGCCGCCCGTGGCCTCTGCAGGACGTGGGAGTTGTTCGCGCTCTCCTACTGTTGGAGGGATCGGCCTTGGTGTGGGAAGGGACCCACTCAGGTCCCCTGTTTGTTGCTAGAAAGAGGCAGGGTCCCGGCTTGGACCTGAGACTTTGTCACCCAGTGTGATGCTCTTTCCACGATTCCACCCTGCCTCTTTGAGTTGTTTTACAATTCTGAGTTTTAAGAAGGAACTCTCAAGAAAGCGTCTGTGTGAGACTCCAGTGGGGGTGGGGTGGAGAGCTTTGAGGTCTGGGGGCTCCCACTTTATTCCTTCCGTCTAGAGCAATCGGTCCAGTCCTCTGTGCACGTGGGATTCCGCGGCACTGGCTTCTTGAGCGGAAGAGGGTCCTCGCTCTGTGGGCTGGGTTACACGGGCTGAGGGATCAGGGACAATGGCATGAAGATGGCTCGTCCTGGAGGTGGCCTGGTCAGAGGGTCAGGGGTTCTCAGTGGACACCCTGTCCTTGTACTGGCTGCCCTTGAGACTTCGAGGTGCTTAGACCTGCCATTCTGAGCTTGTGTTTGATTCTCTCTCACTCCAGTTTCTGTTGAGAGCATTCACAGCCCTCCTGCAGTCTGCCAAGTGCTTATGCCCCTTCGCTTGAGAAGGAAAACTTGACCTTCCAAGCAGACTGGGCAGATCCTGGAGGCACCCTAAGGGGAGGGTGGCCATACCTAGCACGCAGGACACAACACGGAGCTCTTTCTTCTTGGGATTCGGTAACCAGAGGCTGGACCTGGCTTAGAGCGGATTGGCTTTCCTCTGTCTGGCGTGTGCTGTCTGCTCGGACCGTGGGGTCTGTGTGACGATGAAACCCTCCACTTGCAGCACCTGTCTGAGGTCAGTCAGAGATCAGGTTGGTGTATGGTTTGCAGGGTCCTGCCTGGACTGCTCTGGACACAGTAGAAGAACTGCTTCATATATATGTAAAATGTATAGATTGTATCTCCTTATGGACAACTCTACGAAGCTGAGAAGGCAGTTTCTCACCTATGGATTGATCGAGCCCAGTATTTCCGGGTGTTAGTGCGTGGCCAGGATCTGGGGAAATTCGACCCTTTATTCATTCGGTGCCTACTGTGGGCCAGGCACCAGGCTAGGTCTGGAGTAAGGCCAACATGGTTTCTGCCCTCACGGGGTTATAGGTCAGAGTGGACACGAGATGAACAAGCAGACAAGTAGATAAAATAATTAAAAGGCATGGTAAGTGGTTTGAAGGGCACAGTGCCGCGAAGTGTGTTGCGGTCAGCCCGTCTTACTCATTACCGTGTTCAGGGCGTGGTTTCAGGTAGGGACGAAGTGGTAATAACCCTCCTACCTTGACCATACGAATGGCTGTGCCCG